CACAAATTGTCGAAGCTTGTCGAGAGCAAAGACTGTAAAATGGCAAAAGTTAGCAGGTGCTTCATCTTCATACAAATCGATTGCCATGATCATCATTTTGTGGAAAAAGAGAAATGCCGTTCAGGTTCAGGGATGACTGTTCTCTTGTTCATGGGAACTGTTATTCCAGGAATAGTCATGTCATATCCATGAGTGTTCAACTCCAGTGCATCCAGAATGTTTCCATCACGGTCCACTTGTCTCTTGCAGAAATCTCCCCAAAGTTTGTTATTCTCCCTGATGAACTGGTCAAGATGCTTGGTGTAAAAGACAAAGACGGCTTCTGAGAGATATTCCAAATCCTTCTGTATTGCTAAGTCTCTTTCATAAAGCAAGAATTTCTCTCTCCAGTTGTCTCTGCTAATATTGAACCTCTCATCCCAACCTGGTGGTTCAACTTGACCTCGCATCCAGTCTGTCCAATGTCGACGACAAGTGTCCAGATAAGTTCTCATGGCCTCAATCTTTCCTTGTTTCTTCAACCATGATAACATGCGTCCAATCTCCCAAGCTCTAGTGAAGAGTAAGCGTAAATGTCCAGTCCATGGAAGCTTTTCCCAATCAGCACGACCAATGGGTTGCCTTTTCAGTGCTATCTTCTGTGGAGGTAGTAGAAGGTTCCATTCCCTGAGAACAATGATCTTTTCACCTGAGGAGTTCTTGGTGAGTTCACCATTCTCTTCTCGTGCACAAATGATACCAGCTTCATACAGGACCCAGGGATTTGATGCAGAAATAGAAGATCTTGTCGCCTGTTCCACTACAGGGTCTTCACCTTCATCTGGTGGATCTTCTGCTTCCCAGAGATTTACGACTTCTTCACCCATGGGATCATCTTGGACTTCCACTGATGGCTCCTCTTGTTGATTGTCTTGAGCATCTTGTTGAGGATCATCATGTTGTGGAGGTTCTGAACTTCCTGATGAGGAGCGTTGTTGCTCCCATTCATCTTGAGGTTCCTCTCTTTCTTGAGAGCGTCCTCTTCTTGATGGTTGTTCATATGGATTCCTCATTGGTTCATCATCTTGCGCAGATGCCTCTCTCTCATGAGAGCGTTCTGCTGCTGCACCATAAATTGAATCCATAAGAGGGTCAAAATCATTCTCATTGCATAGTGGTGTACCAAAAACCAATTTTCCATAGTTTTGTGGAACTTGTTGACCCATGAACTCCCATGCAGTGATTCTGACTTCATCAGGAATGTCGTTTGATCCAGGAATAAAACTTGGACCTTTCTCCTTCATGACATGGTTCCATGTTGTGTTTGAATGCCATGAACCACCTGTAACTGATGGAGGTAGAGAATGACCACGTCCTTGATGAATAACATTACACGCTATAGTGGGGAGTTGTTCCTTGACGTGGAGGTACTGGAAAGGAACGTCACCATGAAATAGAACTACACCATTCTTTGTCAGGAAGAGTTGGTTATCCACAATAAAACTTGGATCCAACACGAGGTACACCGGTCGCTTGTAACTTCTTGGTGGCTTAGTGCCCTCTGCCATCCTGATGTAGCCTTGACCATTGTCATTGTGATACATGAAGTGTACTGCATCTCTTCCACCTTCTCCACTTCCTTTCACATTGGTCTTCAGGCCTGATTGTTGAATGGATTCTAAGTTCCATGAATCCGTGACATGAAAAATCCAGCCCAAATTCATAGCTTCATCAATGGTCAGTTGATGATGTGCAACAATTGGATCAACTACTTGGTTGCTATGTCCTTGGAAAGCACCAAGACGAACATCGAATGGATATGCTGCAGCTGGGCTATATGGAAACCACGTCCATTGCATGTAGATCTCGACAAAGAATCTTTGCTTGGGATTACACAGTAACATGGCAGCAAACTCTGCTCCAGACATGTGGTATTCCTTTGGATTGTCTCTTTGCATCTGGTCAAACAACATAGAAATGTTCATAGATCCACTGGCAGTGAACAGCGTTTTGTCTCTACAATGTCTCAACACATTTGCTAACTTCTTGCTACATCCCATGTAGTAGCTGTTCCTTGATGAGCTGGTCAAATCCACGTTGAGTGCATTGCATCTGTCATCAAACCAGTCCTCTTCCTCTTGGGTTGTAAAACCACAGAGATACTTCAGAAACTCAGCAATCCACTTCAGAGAATCATCAAACTCTCCATGACTTGTGCCCCAATAAAGGATCCAGGAAATAACATCCATAAACATTTCATGTCTGTCGTTGTACTGCATGTTGTGTGGTCCCATCAATGTGTGGAGATTCCTGTTTCTCTTCTTCCTCACTCTCTCGTGAGCTTGAAACCCCTCTGTTCGACGTCTGTAACCATTGCTGAATGCTAAATGGTCTTCACTGGGTAATGTTGATGGTGTTCGAAATTGGTTATCTGGGATTTCCTCTGATCTTCTCAGAGCATATCCTTCAGATGTCACATTTTGATCACTGGTATATTCTTGACCTCGACTTCTCGATTGTGCCTGATCACTCGAACTTGCGGCTGAGGTCCTATTCCACCGGCTAGAGCTCGCCATATTGAAGAAACAGTACGATCCTCGAGACTCTGCCTCTTGAGCCGCAGGCACAAATTCAAAAAAATAGTCAAGAATCCCTCAAGGTGTCACTTAACAGAAACACATCATGTCTGAAATCAACATGTCTGCAAACTGTTGGCAACCATGACCTGAGGCTGGATTGTGGAGAGAGGCTGTTTTTAAAGTTGTTTGTGCGATTTGCTTCTTTGCTGCTTCGAAAATTACCTACAAGCAATTCCTTACACAGAAATAACAGGTGTCTTATCCAAAGTGTATCTAATAAATAGGGGTTTGTCTTGAAAAAATGTAGATCATTCTTCCATGTTTATAGTACCTCAGAAACTGCATCTAAAAAAAATATATATATGTATATATATATATATATTGGAAAGATGTGTGCATATTACAGATTAAATTAATCAAATTGTAATATTTCATACTTGATAATTCAAAATGCAAAAAATGGTGCGATTCAAAGTGGAAGCAGTTCAACTTCATTGAGTGGCAGCTGACAATCATGTGATTCAAAGCCGACAAAGCAGTTTAACTTCACTTACTGGCAGCTGGCCAGCCCCCATCTGATCATTGAGCCCTTTGCGACTCTGCAGTCTGCAGTCTCAAGTTTGTTGGTGGCTTGCCCCCTGCTTTTGGAAATCCCCCGGCAGCTGAACCATGGGATCTTGCATGTCTTGCTGGTCCTGGTGTGCAAAGGAGCAGCCGCTTCCTGACAGGTTGTGGGTTGCCCGCGACGGCGTTTCTTATCATATCAGCAATGACTGCCAACACATTGTGAGAAACCCGGCTGATGAAATTTGGACCAGGACCAGGCAAGGAAGTGACAACGTGCGCTACTGTTGCGTGTCGGTGCAATTTTCACTGTTTTTGGTTGAAAGCTGGCATGTCAAAGGTGCCCACTTTGCTTCCCTGCGCAAGACCAGCGATGATGCAGTGCTGACGAAAAATAGCACCTGACGGTTGTCCCTGGACTTTGAAAGGGTTGCTTGCAATCATCATTTCGCACAAGCGCACTCACGGGTACACAGACACATGCATAGGAGAACCAAAGATATGTGATGGCGGCGGAACGTAGCAGCATCATCAAAAAGTGTGGCATTTACCTGCGAATGTTTGTCAGCGTGTCAGTTGTCGGTAGTCTGTCTGTCTGTCTGTTTGTCTGTCTGTCTGTTGTTTGTCTGCGTCTTCAGTCAAGTGTTTGTTTGCGTCTGCCAGCTTGCCTGTGTTTGCCAGACCTGTGTCGGCCAGTGTTTTGTATGTCTGTTTCTGTCTGTTTCTGTCTGTTACTGTCTGTTTCTGTCTCTTACTGTCTGTTGCTGTCTGTTACTGTCTGTTACTGTCTGTTACTGTCGCTTACTGTCGCTTACTGTCTGTCTGTTTCTGTCTGTTACTGTCTGTCACTGTCTGTCACTGTCTGTCACTGTCTGTCACTGTCTGTCACTGTATGTCACTATCTGTCACTGTCTGTCACTCTCTATCACTGTCTGTCACTGTCTGTCACTGTCTGTCACTGTCTGTCACTGTTTGTCACTGTCTGTCACTGTTTGTCACTGTCTGTCACTGTCTGTCACTGTCTGTCACTGTCTGTCTCTCTGTCTCTCTGTCACTGTCTGTCTGTCTGCCTGCCTGTCTGTCTGTCTGTCTGTCTGTCCGTCTGTCCGTCCGTCCGTCTGTCTGTCTGTCTGTCACTGTCTGTCTGTCACTGTCTGTCTGTCACGGTCTGTCTGTCACTGTCTGTCTGTCACTGTCTGTCTTATCACTGTCTGTCTGTCACTGTCTGCCTTTCACTGTCTTTCTCTCACTGTCTGTCTGTCTGTCACTGTCTGTCTGTCTGTCTGTCTGTCTGTCTGTCTGTCTGTCTGTCTGTCACTCACTGTCTGTCTGCCTGCCTGCCTGTCTTTCTGTCTGTCTGCCTGTCTGTCTGTCAAGATCATCGGTCCATCGACTATCAGTGGTTGTCCATCGAATATATCAATGTTTGTCGGTGATGGACAGATACAGAGACAAACCGACTGAGACAAGTTGCCTCAGCCAGACATGTGTTGTCATGGGCTCCCTTGCAGTGTTAATTGATTCTAGACTATTTGTTTAATTCGCAACTTTCCATGATAACACTGCAGGCATTTGGCTTGAAGTGAGATCTCAGGACCATTGACGTCTGGAGACCAAGCCATGGACGAGCTGGAACTTGCCCAAGCTGAGGCTGAGTTTGTCCACGCTGGGCTTGCACAACACAGGGCCGACAGGAAAAGAGGTTCATCCCTCTTGGTGCCGAGACTGCAGTTCAATCGGTGCCACACGCCTCTTGGGTTTCAAACCCAAAGCATTTCAAGCACAGGGCCCAAAAGCAAAGACTGCAAAAACCACAACCACAAAAAAGGGTGTCAGAAGAGCAGTGGCCAAGTACAAGGCTGGCCAGAAGGCCACCGGGCGACCCACCAGGCCAGGAAAGGGCGAGCTGAAGGCAAGGCAGTTCGATCCGAGGGGAAATGCTCCGATGATTGTCACTGGCTCAGATTGCTCAGGTCTGGACACTGCTACTGCTGCTTTGAAAATGGCAGGCCTCGAGCCCTGCACGGTGTTCTTGTCTGAGAAAGATGCCCACGCGAGAAAAGTGTTGGAGAGCAATTATGCTACTGGTGGAGCTTATGCAGTCGACGGCATTGGTGGCTTGCCCCATGCTGGCAGCAAGCCTCGGATTTTCAACAACATCATGGCAAGGGATGATTCCGAGATCAGTGCGGAAATCGACCTCTATATACACTGCAGGCCCACCCTGCCAGCCATTCAGCATGGCTGGCTTGCAGAATGGCTTGCACGATAAACGTGCTCATGTGCTGCTGCGTGTTCTGCAGACGATTAAGACCATTCAGCCCCTGACATTTGCCTTGGAGAATGTCAAACCATTAGCGCGGCACAAGAAGTTCAAGCTCCTCTTTGATTTCATTTTGGCTTTCCTACGTTCCATCGAAGATGCAAATGGCGAGAGAGTGTACCAAGTGGAATGCAAGATTCTCGTTCATTGCAAATTATTTGGTTAATTGTTGATTTGTTTTTTTAAGCTTCTTGGTTGTCCTGTTGAATCATCATTTTTACGACAATGGCAATGCCTCCTGAGGTTCTTGACACAAGCGTTGTAGGTGGCTTGCCCCAAGCGCGGCTACGCACTTACATTGTTGGCTGGAAAATTGCAAAGGCGGACCCTTCAATGAAATGGCAGTGGCCAGCCCGCATCCCTTGCAGGAGCGTGTCCAGTTTGCTGGACTGCACAGATGTCTCTGACTTACACCACGGCGTGACCACGGAGAAAGGCAAAGCAAGGGTCCAGCAGCACCTGGTGTCAGTCGCCAAAATGATCCAGGATTCCATTCTGAAGTGTTCTGCCACGAAGGCCTGTGTTGGCTCAATCATTTTTCTTTCTTTGGCTACCGGAAAGTGGTCATCTTTTAGCTCGTCGTTAATAATTTGTTCTGGTTGTTTCCTTGATTGAAAGAATTGCGATTCTGCATTTGTAGGTACTGAGTGAGTAAAAATAGCCACAGTAACCACTTACGACTTACATTTTTGGATTGAAGGCGTCACAGAATGCTGTGTGGTGCGCCGATGTGGGGTGCAGCTTGAAGCGCGGCGCGACAGCCCTGCCTGAAAAGTCACCGACGTTGACGCACAGTCGGTGCAAGTCTGGAGGTCACATGTTGCTACCCATGCAGCGGCACATGACTTTGAATGAAATTGAAGAACTTCAGGGGTTTCCAGGAGGACATTTACGGATCCCTGCCGGAGTCAGCAAGAAGAAGTATGCAGGCATGCTTGGCAACGCTTTCACTGTCAGTGTGATCGGCAGGGTTGCGTTGAATTTGCTGAAAATGGTCGGCAAGGTGGCCCCCGAACATTTTGACCCATGGGCAATGCCGAGCATGAAGCATGACTTTGTCGACTACAGCTGCTTCAGTGGAATGAAGCGCCGCTGCGTGAGGAGAGATGGTCACACAGACTCATAGACAGAGAAGTTTGCAACATCTGAATTTGGTTTCGGTGGCTTGCCATATTCCTCAAATTTGGCTTTGATTTTGTTTTTGGTGCCTTGCCCCATACCAATTCTGAAATTAGGCTCTGCTGGCAATTCGTGAGCTGTTACATTGGTGGCTTGCATCATGGAACTTGCCCTCCGTAATTCATAATTCAGTGGTGCAAACTAGTGCTACCATCACCAATTCGTGATTGCAGAGCGGTGCATTGCCACCTTGTGGAACCTTCGGAAAAGTATAGTGCCTCTGCGTCGCGAGATTTAGCTGAGCACACTCTCAAGCAAGGTCTTAGAACTGACAGTAGGTAGTCGGAGAATTTCTCTTTGGGGGGTTCCTATGACAGTGCATGCGTGCCCATGCCGCTGCTTGGTTGCTTCAAACAAGTAGACATCAGTTGTTTGGACTGGTGGCCGGTGGCTTGCACCGCCTGCAGGGACACAAGGCCCAACTCATGGAGGATTTACTGCCAAAGCACATGGATGTTGAACAATGCTTGCAGGACCGAGTGTTAAATAGCCAGATAGATTTTGCAGGTTATAATTGGAAAACTCAAAGTTAGACAGAAATAGATTCTCTCGACAGCCGGGCGACCCATCGAATGTACAGAGGAGGCTCAGATCAATTGTTTTTTCAACAAATATTTTGCCAATTCCAGGGACCAGCCCCTCTGGACAGTCGGGGGCGCCCCAAACTGTCCAGAGCCGGCTCTGGACAGTTGGGGGCACCCCCGACTGTCCAGAGACCCTCCCAGAAGGTCCTCAAAACACAGTGTAACAGTAAAAAGGGCGCGAAAAAAAAAACTCCAAATAACAAATCGCAGACCTGCTGTGTCCAGAGCACTTCTGGATCCAGGAGGTCTTGTGGACAGTTGGGGGCGCCCCGGACTGTCCAGAGGAAACTTTTCACTCATTTTTCTTGACTTTTGAAAATTTCAAAAGTCAAGAAAAATGATGGAAAAGTTTCCTCTGGACAGTCCGGGGCGCCCCCAACTGTTCAGAAGACTTCCCGGTTCCAGAGGTGCTCTCGACAGGAACTCCGTTCGAGAAGTGGAGTTTTTGCAAATCACGGCCTTAGCTCTGGACAGTGCCAACATGGGTCTCAAATGCTGTTTTTTCTTGAATTTGCCAGGACTTCGTGCCAGAGCAGATCGAGCCTGTGACAGACTTTGGCAAGAAATGGAAAAGGGTTGGGCCCAGATGGGTGGCACAGTACCCTTGGCTACACTGCACAAGGAACCCAGCTGGAGAAGTGAACAGTGTGTACTGTAAGGCATGCAAGCTTCATGGCAAGTTCCACGCTGAGTTTCGAACAGTTTCCTCGTTGCAGAAGGCGCACTTCGATAAACATGAGCGAGCTAAGAGCCACAGGATAGCAGTTTCTGATCCTGACGTTCGCTTGGCCCTTGTTGCCCCTCCAGTTGCTGCTTTCGTGGAAGCTCTGCGTTTAGTCCGCCAGGGTAGAGCAGGAGGGGCTGAAGGCACCGGAACTTTGAAACGTGACAAGTTGCTCAAAGCAAAGTATTGCTTGGCTGAAGCTTTAAGGTTTCAAACTCGCAGGGACTTGAGGAGTTGCAATTGTTTGACTTTGCACTCGGATGCTTCCAAAGGGAGACTACTTTTGCGTGTGCAAGGTTGTGGCCCACAGCTGCGGCCAGTTCATGCTTTGGTGGGGTGCCAAAAGCTTGAAGATTTTGACTCCCACGGCATTGCCAAATGTGTCTTGCTGATGTTGGCGGATTTGTGCTCACCATTCAAGCACAGCGAATCCTTTGAAACGAGCCAGGCGCTGAATGAAGATGTCACCTCCATGGACAAAGCTTTGTTGGCTCATCTCTTTGAGATCACAGAGGTCTTCAACGCAGACGCAGCTGCAGATGAGCAATTGGCTGGCCAGATCCTTGAATCTGGTAATAATAGATTCCTGGAGGCTTGCCCCGGAACTTGTCCTGCCTTGCTTAAAGCTATGGATGTGAACATGGCTACATTCTCAGAAGCGTTCCCAAACTTGAAGGTCATCAACAAAGACAAGCCCCATGCCGCCCGTAGGATTGTCAGCCGGACATGGAAATGCGACCGTGTCCTCGACCAAATTGTGAAGAAAGTGTTCATGGACACCGATGGCATTGTGCAACAGATTCATTTCTCCGATGTGTTGCGGTCCATGTATGCCCAGAACGTTCGAGCCATGCAGTTCACCCCCTTGTGGAATGAGATTTCGGACAAATTTTCTGCAGCGAAGCACCGATTCGATTCGTGGAGCATGCCCTTTGCTAAAGTTTGCCTCACGTTAGATGCTGTGATCCGAACAGCCCAGTCTGCCCATGAAGAGAGGAAAAATGAAAAGGTTGGCCACGCAGCTCGGACATTCTTAGACCTTCTGTCTGAGGAAACAGTTTTGCTCATTAGGATGCTTGCTGATGCTGGAGAGGAAAATCTGCAGTTGACCAGGCGCTTGGATTCTGAGAGAACCACGTCAGGAAGCCTTGCCATTGCAGTGCAGCAGTTTGTCATGAAGTTGGAGGTGCTGTTTCTGAAAGGAGCAGTCGTGAAGACTGGCTACACAGCCCACCTTTTGGACCAATTGCAGAAGCCACGGACGACATACATTGACAAAGTGGCCAAACGGCTCGGTGGCTTGCCGCTTGCCCCAGCCGCAGATGGCGACGGTCGTTTACCGATGCTTGAAACGCTTTGCTTCCTGGGTGCAGCTAGCGCAGGAAGTGGTCGCAACGGAGTTTCCAGCGTTTGAGATTTTGCAGTCTATGTCTATTTTCCATTTGGAATCGTTGAATGACAAAGTGCACAGAAGAGACGACCACAGGACTGAAGCACGAGATGTTAGCGATAAGATCCACAAAGTGTCAAACGTTTTGTCCTTGGATGAGTGCGCGTTGTCAAGCCAGTTTGCAGACTACCACCCTGTAGCTCAGCACAAGTTTGAATCCTCTGCAGACATGGAACCAGTGATGGCCTGGAAAGCAGCTTTGGATACAGTTCTGGAGGACAAGCGAAATCTCCAGAGGAACTCAGGCAGGCTCTGAGTAGAGCTATTGGCTGGGGCTGCTCCAGCTCGGGTGTGGAGCAAAACTTTGCAGGTGTCCGAACATTGACAAAAAGCAAAGGAAACATGACCGAAGTGAACCTGAGGGATGAAATTTTCCTCTTGACCACACAAAATTGGACCGAAACTCAAGACCAGGAGTTGGCAAAGGCTGCTGCGGTGATTTGGTCTCAACTTTTTGGGACAGTGAAAGCCGCAAGTTCCAAAGACTCAGTCTTAAGATCTGTAGCAGCGCAGCGTGGGTGGAAGAAAAGGGCCAGAGAAGGCACATGGCAAGCGCCTTGTCTCAAAACTAGTTTCATGTGCTCAACACTCAAAATTTAGATCATTTTGAACAAAGATTTTGCTTACTAAGGCTTTTCGGAGGCAACGTGCTCCTGCAGTGGCGCAGGAAGTGAAAAATGCGGAGATGACCCGACACCAGGATTTTTGGTCCACGAAAACGAGCATTGGACACAAGAACATGAGAAAGAAACGCAGTTACAAAAAAAAAAGACGTAAAGAACGTGCTTTGGAAGCAGCTGCTCACAATGGGCTTACAACGGAAGAAAAACTCAATGAAATAGGTCCAGACCATGAGCAAGCCGTGGAGGACTTCAAAGCTGCGAGAAGTCAGAAAGTGAGAAGCTACTTGGCCAAAAAATCCGGGACACAAAGAAAAAAGAGAAAGCTGCGGCATCATTTTTTTCTTTGTGCAGTGGCAAGAAAGTTTTTATTTCAACAATCCAAGCCACTCCAAGCCTTGTGCTGGACCAGCACATGGACAAGTTGGGTGCAAAATACGAATCTTCCCTTCTGCGTGCGGACGCGTTTGTTGTTCCAGATGTCACAGATCCTGCTGAAGAAACTTTGTGGCAAGCATTCCTTTCCGGAGGTTTGCTCCTCAGCCCTCAAGCGTCTAGTCATGGCGAGGGACCAGCTGTGAAGTATTGCTGTGCGGTCAGCATCCGCAGGACTGTTTACATCAGCAGCGGTTTTCAAGAAGAAAACCCTCACTTGCGTGCAGCTATCACTGGCCGCATGCAGCAGTTGTGCAATATGTGGAAACTCTTGAAAGACATGCCTTTGTTTCTTCAATGCTTGCAGAAAGTGCAACTTCGCCACAGACCGTCTGCCGAGCTTGTCGCTTTTGTCACCCAGAAAACAGCAAACAAATTCTGTAAGTCCTTGGTGATACCGGCCAGCCCACAACTGGTCTATGCTGCAAGTTCTTGACCAGAACAAATTCAGCTGATTTTTTATGTAAAGTTGAATTTGCTAAGCATGGTTTATGTGGTCGCTGATTCGAGCATTTATAACAGTAGTCAATTCATGACACTGCAACTTCGTAAGTTTTCTGTCAAGGCACCACATAATTTCATTAATTTGGTGCGTATAATTCAGGATTGAGAGCGGGATGGTGGCTTGCCCCTCCTAATCATTAATTTGTTTGCATGACGCTGCCCCCCAGTAGCGCTATAGGGCATGGGCCTGGTGGCTTGCCCCGGGTTGATATTTTTGCATTTACATTAAAAATCAATAGTTTTTTTTGGACATTCTCTTTCAGCTTCTCTCCACAATCCCGCTTGTAATTTGCTGCAATGAAATTTCGATCCGCGGAAAGAAAAATTGCAGCCGCGGACTGTCTGAAACGCCATAGTAAGTGCAAGTAACTAGCCACCAACCACTGTCTGAGTCACTGGTGCATATACGAGAGTTGCGAAGATTTGGGTTACAAGTTGGGCCTTCAAACCTGGAACTGGCTACGCGGTGAGGCTCAAACCGGACCTCAGGTTTGACTGCAGGATGTAGTAACAATGACACACAGACAGGAAGATGAAACCGACAGCAGCAGCAACTACAAGTTTCCAGCAATAATTTCTTTACCTGTACTTAAATGAAAATAAGCAGTCACAGATCATCACTTCTTCAACTTCAACTTAGCCGCTTAGCTGCTCCGACCATGGGGAAACCAGGTGCTGGCAAGGGAAGCCAGGGTCGCCGTCCCAAGGGCGATGCAGCGAAGCATAAGGGTAAGGGATCTGGTGGCTTGCCCCATCCCAGAACTGAGCCTTCTGGATTGGGCGGCACCGTCCAAGTGCCACGTAGTCACGTTGTCACTTCCTTGCCTGGTCCTGGTCCAAATTTCATCAGCCGGGTTTCTCACAATGTGTTGGCAGTCATTGCTGATATGATAAGAAACGCCGTCGCGGGCAACCCACAACCTGTCAGGAAGCGGCTGCTCTTTTGCACACCAGGACCAGCAAGACATGCAAGATCCCATGGTTCAGCTGCCGGTGGATTTCCAAAAGCAGGGGGCAAGCCACCAACAAACTTGAGACTGCAGACTGCAGAGTCGCAAAGGGCTCAATGATCAGATGGGGGCTGGCCAGCTGCCAGTAAGTGAAGTTAAACTGCTTTTGTCGGCTTTGAATCACATGATTGTCAGCTGCCACTCAATGAAGTTGAACTGCTTCCACTTTGAATCGCACCATTTTTTGCATTTTGAATTATCAAGTATGAAATATTACAATTTGATTAATTTAATCTGTAATATGCACACATCTTTCCAAGAGGTACTACAAACATGGAACAATGATCTGCATTTTTTCAAGACAAACCCCTGTTTATTAGATACACTTTGGATAAGAAACCTGTTTTTTCTGTGTAAGGAATTGCTTGTAGGTAATTTTCGAAGCAGCAAAGAAGCAAATCGCACAAAAAACTTTAAAAACAGCCTCTCTCCACAATCCAGGAGGTAAGCTTTGTGTTCCAATAATGATCTGAATGGAGGATGAGCATCAACTTCTTTAAGAACACCTTGACGAACAGCATCAATAAGATTCTGAGGATTAGCAGACTTTTTGGTCAAACAATCGGCTAAACACCATTGAGTTCTGATATGTGACAAGTCAGCAGTTGAACCTGAACATGCTTCTTTCCTAAGCATCTGAATCATATGAATGGTCTCTTGTTGTTCAGGAACATGAGTCGTACTGGCAGTAGTCACAAGATTTTTTGCATCAGTCCTCATGTGAATCTCACTTGAAAGTCCGGTAATGTCCTTGATAAGTCCTCTCAACATTTGACATGTACCATAACACTTCATAAGTGCATACAACTCTGCAACAGTTGTGCTCAAAGTGGTTCGTTTGATTTTGGTAGATTCAAAGAAAATGAGAGAACCTCTGGTGTTTTTGCTCTTTTCCTTTCTTGGTTCAGCCATGAAAATAACCATCGCGCGCTGTGAGGATTTGTCGCTGTTGTTCCTAAACGCTGCATCTGGCATTGCAACTAATCTAGGATCACCTTGAAGTGGCCAGAACATAAGTTCCATCGGGTCACCTACAATTTGCCTGCAAAGTTTGTTCAGCGTTTTGCAATCACCTATGGTGGGGGCAGCAGCGGCAGAAGCACAACGTGAAAACTGATAACATGACTGAAATTGAGTTCTTGATTGTAGCCAATTGGTACTACCTAAGAGTGACCTATAGGCAGTGTGGAGATCCTTGTCACATTTGTCTTCATCCTTCAAACCTTTAGGTATGACAACCTCAGTGAGTTCACTGACACAAAGTGACTGTTCGACAGTGATGTGTGATTTCTTCTTGGTCTTCTCATCAATGATCCATTTCACACGTTGACCAGTGAGCATCAAGTCATTCACGTCTTCATCACCAATCTTGAATTGTGACTTGACAACTTTCTTGAACTTCTCCAGAAACTCTGGAGTTTCAGTAATGAACAAGTCATCAACATGCAAACAACACATGCCAATAGGTTTTCTTCCCTTGGCATTACTGCCATTCACAGGGTCCATGAAGTGTTCCAAGAGTTCTTCAACAATCTCAGGTGTCAGCTGTGGTGTCGTGGCAAGATAAGTACGCTCTGAAGGTAAGAAGACTGAAGCAAGTACTTCAGCTTCTTCTTCCAAACTTGTGGAAACATTTTCCTTGTTCAAATCATGGTTCATCTCAAGTAACCACCAAACTCCTTTCCTCTTCACAATAGAAGTCCTCAAGTGAAACTTCTTTCGATCAGAATGTGAATCAGGAGTTCTCAAAGCCTTTGCACGATAAGCAACTTGAGCATGACCATTTTCAAAAGGATACCAACCAGACTTGTGTTCAACAGATTCCAAAAACTTCAACAAAGTTTCATCAACAACAGGAGTCCAAGCACAATCTTCAACCTTCTTCTCCTTGAACTCTTTTCTCTGTTTCCATGTTTGGGTTTGTTGATAGCAAGCTGAAAACAATCTTTCTTCAACCAAGAGAGACTTATGAACTTCCTCAGCAATGTCGGAGGATTCATCACGCGTTTCCTCACTCTTTTGTGAGCTTACGTAGTATGTCGCAGGTGCTGGTTCTGTTGCCTCAGAGTCAGCAAAGCTAACCTGTTTTGGCTCCTTAAAAGCACCATCATAGCATACATATGTACACCTGTCAGCTCTTGTTGGTTGGATGCCAAGCGAAATCAGAAATTTGTCAAGGCGGTTCCACCATCTACGTGGTGCGTCCGCAAGTCCATAGACGGAACGAGTGCACAAACCAACCAAGTAAGGAGGCAAACCAATGTCAGTAGGCAACTGAACATAGATAACGCGTCGGTCTAAGTCGTACGTTTCCCCCTGAAGGAAGGCAGTTTTCAAGTCTAAATGGAGTAAATCCCAGTACATCGAGGCTGCATGCTGAGATGCCACACGAAAA